CTACTTTTGTATGGAACAAAATATTAAATTAATTTCATATAAAAAATTGGAAATAATATGTCTATAAATAGATATAAGAGCATTTATAAAAAAAATATCTTCTTAATTATATCCGTGCCTCAACAGGACACCAAGATTTGAAATAACGATATATAACAATAAATCCAAGTCAGAAAAATTTCAAAATCTAGCAATAGATAAAAATTATTTTGAATATAGACCTAATATGAATCAGAAAGATCTACCAATCACGAATGACTAATAAATATCCGATAATAAAATGATTTGCCGTCAAAAACAAATAAAAAGAACCAATAGGGCCCGGGATTTCGAATTATTACGACGAAATATAGAATAAAAAGAAAAAACGAAACGAAAAAAGCTATCGAGATTCTCACGGCAATATGATATATTTTCATCAAAAATCATAAAGAATTGCCAAGAAATAGAAATATATTTAATATATAAGTCTAAAGACACGAGAATAAAATTTCATAGAAGAAAAAATAACCCAGAAAAGAATCCTCCAACTCCTAATAATGTAATTAATTTTGGCAAATAATAGATAAAAATAAATTATTAAGAATCGATATATCTTTAGATTTAATATTATAAACAACAATAAATATGAGAAAAATATCAGATTCACCAATTAATCAAAACGAACCAGAGAAAGCCTCCAAAATCATATTATAATTTAATACGATCAATATTTTATCTAAAGAATTTTCAAAATTTAATAAGATTTTTTTATATAAACAAGATATAATAATTATAATCGTCTTAATAAACAAACATATTTATATCTCATTATATAATATTGTTAATTCTTATCATCATCCATATAATATATAATATATTTTTGTATTGTTGTCGGATATTGAAAATTCATTTCATATCATAAAAATAAAAAAAGACAAAGAAAATTAGATCACAGAGGAAAGAAATAAATAAAAAATCAATCAAAATATAAATCAAATTCGAATCATCTATTGTTTACAACCAACCGTATCCATAACCGCCACTCGAAAACACATATAAAAAAAAGAAATAAAAAACGAACCAAATATCAGAATGCTTTAAAACCAATATCTATTATATAAATCGTAATATTTTACCGAATTTCAAGTATTCTTTTCTATCTTATTTTGAATTAAAAGAAATATCATTGTCTACGAACAAAAATTAAATTTTTTTTTCAAAAAAAACTTTAAAATATCGTATTCCTTAATAACTTTTCCTAACCAATCCTCAATCGTAAATAATCAAGTGTGGTACCGAATACTACTAATCCTTCGAACCTTTCTTTTCCAAGAATTTACAGATAGAATTTTGAAAGTTGCCGAATTATATACTTATTATGAAATCTGCTATAAATAGAATAAATCAAAAAATTCCTAATTTTTTTTTAAGAATCTAAAGATTCATTCAAAATAACTATTATTAAAAAAAATTCAAATAACTTCATTCAAAAATAGAAAATAACATTTCTATAATTAGATATAAGACCATCCTTAAGAATAACAATATCTTCTTGTTTATATCCGTGCTTCTATGCACGGCCCCTAAGTGTCTTCGCACATCTCTTATACATTTGCTGCCGTGATGCTACGCGCGGCCCCTTCTCCACTATGATTTGGTCCGCTAACGCGCTTTCGCAAGCCTCTTGCATACTTGTCTCGCGGTATTACAGTTAATTCTAGAAATTTAGTATCGCGACAGCTTCTAATTTTTAGTAGCTTTAAGGGACATGCTCGCGGCCGAAACTTTCCAGACTTCTTAGCAGGTATGCTTACGGACATAAAATTTCCAGGCTTTTTCAGCTGGAAAGGTTTTGATTTAGCGTCTTGTGTCAGTCCGTCTCCGTCTGTCTGTCTCTGTCTGTGCGACTATCTATCTGTCCGCCTCTCCGTATGTCTGTTTCTCTTTCTGTTTGTCTGTCTGTCAGTCTGTCCCTCTATTTACGCGTCTGTATGTCTATCTATTTGTATGCCTAGTAAAGTATTTGTCTCTATTTGTCTCCGTGTCTATTATCTTTTAAATTCTTCAGTTGTGTATATACCCTCTATTATATTTTAAATCTTCTAGTTTAGTTATAAGTTCGTAACTAAGGTTATAAGATGGCATTCTATTATAAGGTCGTAGCGTTCTTGAAAATAAATATATGTATTCTTATAGACTAATTACTACTATAATCACTATTATTCTTATCCTTATTCTCATTATGCTTGCTGCTATTATTACTATTATTATTATTACAATAATATTTGCATATATGATATCGAGCTATTATTGCCATAGAGATTCATTCGATCATTTTGAGCTCAATCATGCATTCGTAAATCGATTTAGAGATCTTATATAAGAACATTATCAATTGTTGTTGGAGGTTCTGCAACATATCAACAGGAAAAATCAAGCATGTGCAACTCGGGCTCCAGGATATGGTGGTTCTCATACAATTGAAGTGTGGTCAAGTGTTCCATGGCGTGCAAGTTCAAGTGTTTCTACTGGACGCTGATTTTTGGCAGAGAAGGTGCGTCTTCCTGGGTAGGGGACCAAGAGTATTTAAGTCAATATCTCTGCCTTGTCTGCCGGTTACATTATATGGTGGTCGCCTACATATCTATGATGCACCAAAAAATTGGGCAGAATGTGTATGCATCAGGCTTTGTGCATAGATTCTGCCAGCATTCGTGTCCATGTTCCGACAGGTTTAAGTAGATTGTTGGTCGTGCCATCCGCGTCGGTGGGTAATAGCCGGATAATGATCGATGCCTGGAACCGAAGAATATGAGCTTACTTGTGAATTCGTGAAACGTTTGAGGAGGCTTTATAGTGTTTCAACAATAAAAATCATCTTCACGTCAAGCATTTGCAACCAGAGCTCCATGAAGACAGTCATATAATTAACTGAAGTGCAATTTATACCAGCATTGGGCATGGGACCAAGAACACTTAAGTCAATATGGAGGCCTTACAACATTTCAAACATAAGACTCATCTTGAGGCCAGGCATGTGCAATAAGAGGGCTATGCCACTTCATCTTTGCCAAAAGAGCATTTTCTGAAATAACAAAACGATTCGATAAAGAGCACGTAGCTCATTGTTTAAGATCTTCAAGTACTGGTTTAGGTTCTCCGGTCTCTGTATCTTAGCATAAGGCATACAGTGCACCCTTAATCCGAAAACTTAAACCCTCCGCAAAGCTTGTGAGCTGAGCTCATGTCTTCCACTGACACGCTTCGGGCTGCATGCCACTCCGGCGGCAGGCTTCTAGATCCATGCTCTGCAAGCCAGCCATATCCAGAGTGGGCTGAGACCTGTAGCAAGAACCCTAAACCCCTAAACAAGACGTCTGTGTTTTTGCATTTCTAAGCCCCCAGGATGCTTCCCAAACACGAAACCGCTGACAATCTCTGTGAGATACTTCGTGCTGCAAATAGTTGTGGTCGAAGGGGCTGCAAGCCCTGAGTCTGAAACACAAAAGGAATTCCGGGCCTTGGTCCCTTACATACGCCGAACAGTAACTCAAGTATAGCACTGAGGAGAATACCATCATAGTGACATAGTGTATAACGCACAAGCATGACGTACATAATGTGTGTGAATATGAACTCAAGCATTTGACTGAGGAGAATACGAGCATAGTGTGTAGCCGCACAGGCATGACGTACATGATGTCTATGAATATGTACCAAAGAACCGAATCTGTATACATATCTATGTATGTGTATATCTCTATCTCTACCTATATCTATATCTATCTTTCTTTTCTATATATATATATACACACACATACGCACACATACACACGTAGGTACGATGCTTTCCCAACGAGGTGCCACCATCGGCAGGATACCACATTTTTGCTTCTGCCTCGGCTGAAATCGAGGCGACTGCAGATTTCGGGCTGATCTTCGGAGCTGAAAGAAGCAGGCGCCGACACAGGGTCTAGCGGTTCAAGGGTTTACAAAAATCGTATGTAGGGTTTAGAGTTATTTTGACTGTAGGTTTGAGCAAATTGACACAAGGTTTGCTCAAGTCCGGAAAGATAACCCATAGAATAAGTTTGAACCGCTCCGCAAGAGTTTTCGTCACCGACACCAATGCCCACATCATCGTGAATCAGCACAGAGTAACTAAACCCTAAACTTGCCTTTCCACCTTTCAACATCATCATCCACGCAACCCTAAACCCTAAACCCAAAAAGTCCCCACTAGCCCTAAATCCTAACGCCCCCAAAACCACCAAAAAAAACCTTACACCAAACTTCTCGGCAGGCATCCCTGGCTTCGGAACGACGCGCTGCTGCAGCAGCGCCGACACCTGCGCGCGAAGCCCTGGGCCCGGAGTAGAACCCTAAACCCTCAACCGTGTAAATGGCAGACTCCAAAAATCCGAGCCTCTATCGACGAAAGGGCTCAGGATTCACGGTGAAACCCTAAACCTTAAAAACTCTCAACCAAACGTAAACACATCATCCTGAATGGGCCCTAAACCCTAAACCCTGAACCCTCGAACCTAAATCCGAAGCCCTCAAACCCTCGAGCCAACCTGGAATCCTGAATCCCTGACCCCCTTCTAGAAACCCTTGTAGAACCCTTCCCTAAACCCCTAAACCACAAACCCAAAACCCTCAACTAGAACCCTTTAAGGGGACCCGCTTTTGAGGGAACCCGACAAGCCGCAACTACGAGGACCTCTGGGGCTCGAAGCCAAAGCTCAGCAGGCGGCAAGGATGCGACCTGGATCGGAGCGGAAGACTCCTACGTAGAGGTCGTCTTAAGTAATTCGAAGAATCGGGTTCTTTCAGGGATCTACAGGGATTCTATGATCTAGGTATTTCATCACTCTGGCTCTGGTAAGGAGCCGAAGGTCCCGTAAGCCCCGGACTCCTGCATGAACCTATGGCCTCAAACATCGAACCTGGGCAAAACCCCAAGCCCCAAATTAAAGCGAAGCCTAAACAGCTAAAGGTATCCAACGCCCAAACCCCTAAACACCGCACTGTGCGCCGCCTACAACACCCAAAGCCGCCAAATCACTAAAAACACCACAAATCCCAAACCCTTTCCACCACACCTCCGGGCGGTAGAAGCTGTCCATAGTGGAGCTCGCCTTGGACTCTCTTGGGGGGAACGGCTGTCGGGGCATGATGAGTTCGGGTTTAGGATTTAGGGGTGAGGGATGAGTATTCTTATCTTTCTTCTACTTCTGCTTCTCATCTGCATAACAATGCTATGACGGCTACTACGAGTTCAACCTTTTCCGTCCTATCACCATGATCGCCCTTCGATATTGGCATCGTTCTTTATAGTGTCAGTGATTTGGTTTGAGGCCGCAGTTGCGTTCGGTAGGAGGGATTCCAGGACCGAGTAGATCCGGAATGTGAAACTTCCGGGCTTTTGAACTGGGCTTAACCCTAAAGCATACTAAAACCTTGAGCACTCGGCGCCTTTTTTGCCATCGCCGTGTTGAAGCAGCTGGTGCATTGTGGGAGGAGGCATCCGCACTGGCAGCCGCAGTCGCAGCAGGGGCAGAGTAGCCAGAAGCACCAGACGCTGATTTCCCAGAGTGCTGGGAGGAAGCAAAGTCTTCGAGGATTTTCTGAAGGACGCTGATGGATCCTTTCCGGCCCACCATCACTGGCCGGAGCTTGATGACCTCCGGGCCACCATCCCTGGCCTCGACCTTTCCCGAGTGCCTTGTTTGCAAAGCAGCGGTTTGGCCATCACTTGCGGCGCTCCTTAGGAGCTCCCCGATGCTTATCAGGGCTACAGAGCTGAGCTCTGGATTCGCCTTGCCATGGCCGTCAAAAAACCTTACTTCTCCAGTTTTTGCTAAGAAGATATTATACTAAGATTTTTAGCCTTCTAGTACACCGAAAAAGAAGGCAGTAAGTATACTCTACCACCAAGAAGCCGCGCATGCTCAAAAAGACGATCGATAGCAGAGTCACCAGGATCCATGTCAAGGCTGCAGACAAGAGCCTCTGCGGTGACCACAAACATCACATAGTCGCCAGAAATAAAGGGCCTGCCACCCAGCAGCTCTGAACGCACCGCTTCTGAGATCCCTTGGGCCGTGACTTTGGCTGTCTCTTCGTCTTCGGCGAAAAGCTCCTCTGCCAACTCCCGGAAGGCTCCAAGAAGAGGAGATTCCTTGTCCTTGCGGTTGACGCCCCCGCCGAAGTCTGTGTACAAGTACTCCTTGCGCTTGAAATAGAAGCGGCCTCCCAGCAACACGGCAGGAAGACCGCCATGCAAGGCAGATCGCCCTACCACCATGACGCCAGCATTACCAGCGGTATGAGCTTTCTCCGGCCATTCCTTGTCCGCAGTGGTCTCGGCGTGTGCCATGAGCTCACGTGGTGAGGCAGGGCCACTGCACTACTAAGCTCTACTTCGACATCACTCAGAACCGATGCAACATGAAACAAATGCAGAACCCGCCCTCAAGGCTAAAGGCTCTGCTCCAAAACCTGTTCTGGACTAACAACAAGCAACAAGGCACTAGAAGAGCAAGTGTGCAGCCTTTACCCATGTGCTGAAAGTCCGCATCCTCCCCCTGAAAGCCTTCAAGACATGTACGTATCACCCTAAGCCCTGAACCCTAAACCCTTAAACCCTAAAACCCTAAACCCTAAACCTTTGTATCTCTTTAGCTTCGAAGCCTCAGATCTCCACCAGGCTCCCAGAAACCGATCAGCCTGCAAAAGGCCGAAGGACCAGACGGCACTACTAGTGGTTTAGGGTTTAGGGTGTAGTGGTTTAGGGTTTAGAGTTTAGCGGGTCAGGGTGTAGGGTTTAGGCCCCGTGAAGATCTGAAAACGTCCCAGGGACCGAAGCACTGGATGCTGGCTCCCCTTCGGCTGCTGCCTCAACGAAGGCAGTGATTGAGCTTAGGAGTTCGGGGGTGCAGAGTTTAGAGCTCAGACAGCGCAATTAATACCATTTATGCAATTCAAGAATACACACTCACAAGCAGAACACTCTTAAATTCAGGAATACCTGTTAAATGACGCCGCATTTTATGTATTGCTTGATCTCGAAAGGGGTGTCGGGCTTCGAAGATTGGAAACACTCTATCAGAACTCCATAAAAAAGCTCCCGTCAACACCAGTAAACCATCTACAAAGCCCTAACCCTAACTCCAGACCTAAAATTCCCCAACCCGACACCCCTAAACCCTAAGCCGTAAAGCCTAACGCAAAACCCGAAGCCCCCTTTAGCCCTAAACCTCTTTGATGGCCCTAAACACTTCATCCCAGAAGCCGTAAACCCTGCCCAGCGATCCCAACACACCCCTAATTCAAGGAACATATCTCAAGTCATGGAAAGTCAGCCCCCCCCTAGAATCTCAGGTACCTTCCTTAATGAAGGGGTATTCGGATCTCCGGGTGCTTAAACCCGAAGCAACCCTCTCCGCTGAGGTCATTGGCCGGTGTCTTCGCTGTCGGGATGGACGCATCCTCAGCGCCGCTATGACACGCAGTGGGCACCCTGCCGAAATCTAAGGCAGTGCTTATAGGGTTTAGGGAAGGGCCGCAGTCCAACGGAGTTTTGCGCTGCATTCAAATTGAGGAACCACTGCTCAGCACCGGAAAAATCAGCAAAACCACCCAATTTCTCCACCATCAACGCTTGCCGGTGCCTACCAAAGCCTGCCTGAACCAGCCCGGGCCGCCATGCCCTTCCACACGAACCATAGACAATCCGTGCCTGAATTCATTGAAGTCAAACCGTCTTTTAAGAGCTCGAACGTCCGGTGAGAGGCTCACCATCTTAGCAACAACACCTCCAAACCCTGAGAAACCCCAAAACCGGCAAAATATGGGCAGTTCTCTAAATTAGGGTCCCTTTTAGGGTCCTTTTATAACCGTACTATATTGAGGACCCAAAAAAGGACCCTAATTTAGAGAACTACCAATATCTAAAGAGGTATTCCCTTTGCCCGGAATCACACAGAAATCCAAGAGCTTGCCATGAAATTGCTGGTGCGAAGGGGGTGCCTTCCAGTCACAGTGAGCATGCTGGAAGCTTTCATTCCGGAAACTCCCAACAGCCCTAAAATCCAAACTCTGACCTCTTGCAACATAATAAACGCTGACCACCCGTATAAGCGACCGGGCAGAAAGCACCACGACCAAACTCCTATAATCTCGCCATTTGGCCGAGTAAGAAAATGTATAAACCGGTACACAACTCCAATAAAGCCTCTAACCCCTAATCCCTAACCTCTAGTCATTAAGCCCCAATCCTCCACCGACCGAACTGAGCCACCCAAGATGGCCGGCCGTACAACGAGAATGCGCTGCCATCCACGAAGTGCACCTGCTTACAGGATCACGGGACTTAGTAACTAGGGTTATAAACAAGGTAACTCTACTTGTGGTTGCTTATAACCCAAATGGGATACTTCTAACCTAACTTGCCAAGTCCCATGGTCCTCCAAAGTGGCTTTAGCTTTGCGCTGCAGTCTTGTTAATCTGTCAATGTAGGAGTTCGGATTGATATGACGACGGGGAGCATGATCATGGTTATGTTGTTATGTTCATGATCATACCCATCGTGATGATGATGATTACGACGGTGATGATGATGACCGTAGTTGCCGATGCTTATGCACCGTCGTCTGTCATTCTCCCCTGATCCGAGCACGGCACGATGGTCAGCTGATTGAAGTCTCCCAGCCAGGAGCCGTAGTTGATGAAGATATTCCTGGGCACTACCCTAAACCCTAAACACAACACTTTTACATGGAAAAGGAATCATTTGCCACAGATCCACCCCTAAAGCCTCGAGCCTTGCATAACACGTTGCTTCTGGCCAGCACACAATCAAGAGGTCCGTAGGTCGTTTGCATTCTGCTGGCGTAAGGGTTTTATTCTCAACTACGTGTTTGGGGGAGGGCTTTTGGCACATGCGTCTGCTTATCACTGTTATAATATCAGGTTTCTGTCTTTGTCTTCATTGTCGCTACCGTCATGATGGGAATCATTCCGCGTCCATGAAGCGCCCTCAAAAGGACCTTTGTCAAGAATCTCTCATAATGCAGAAATCTGGTTAAGCAATCCTGGTCCTATAAGCAACGAACCCACCGGATAAGGACCCAAGGTTTCGCATTCATATTTTACTAGAGTGACGGAAGAAGGTCTGGTCATTATGTGCAAGGAATAGACAAGTCGCATACACTCTTTGAAGATGTGAAGGACCGACACTTATGGCGTTAGGCTCAGTTTAGGCTCAGTATTGTTGTTGTTGTTGTAGCCGCTACGGATCCGACTGGCAGGGTAGCTCTCGTGGCTTTCGAACATGCCTTGGGCTCCAACTGGAAGGACATTCGGCACCAAAACACAATTCATTCCACCTGGCATTCTTCCTGAGCACACTCGGCACCTAAAACAACTCCTTCCACTGGCACTCTTCCTGAGCACACTCGGCACCTAAGTGCAAGCCATTCACCGGATTGCTGGAAGGACACTGGGCACCGAAAACAATTCATTCCACGGGCAGTCTTCCCGAACGGACTTGGCACCAAAGTACAAGTCATTCCACCGGGATGCTGGAAGGACACTCGGCACCAAAAAACATTTCATTCCACCTGGCATTCTTCCTGAGCACACGCGGCACTTGAAACAAGTCCTTCCACTGGCACTTTTCCTGGGCGCACTCGGCGCCTAAGTACAAGCCATTCCACCGGCATGCTGGAAGGACATTCACCAAGAAACAATTCATTCCACCTGGCATTCTTCCTGAGCACACTCGGCACCTAAAACAATTCCTTCCGCTGGCACTCTTCCTGAGCGTGCTCGGCACCCAAGTGCATGCCATTCCACCGGCATGCCGGAAGGACACGCGGCACCAAAAAACAAGTGATTCCACCTGGCATTCTTCCTGAGCACACTCGGCACCTAAAACAATTCATTCCAGTGGCCCCGAAGGACACTCGGCACCGAAAACAATTCATTCCACGGGCAGTCTTCCCGAACGGACTTGGCACCAAAGTCCAAGTCATTCCACCGGCATGCTGGAAGGACACTCGGCACCAAAAAACATATCATTCCACCTGGCATTCTTCCTGAGCACGCTCGGCACCAAAAACAATTCATTCCACTGGTCTTCGAGCACACTCGGCACCTAAGTGGAAGGACACTCGGGCACCGAAAACAATTCATTCCACGGGCAGTCTTCCCGAACAGACTTGGCACCAAAGTACAAGTCACTCCACCGGCATGCCAGAAGGACACTCGGCACCAAAAGTACAAGCCATTCCACCGGCATGCTGGACGAAAAACAAGTCATTTCACGGGCATTCTTTCTGAGCATACTCCACCAAAGTACAAGCCATTCCGCCGGCATGTTCTGCGCCCACCTTGCCCCGCATGATACTCAGCATCATGATTGCTTAGATTCCCTGGGCATGTGTTGCGCACCTCAGGCCCAACTCACGAAACTCTCCGAAAACAATTCATTTCCACTGAAAGTCCCCCCTTGGCGCTCTGTGTCTAGAAGGACACGTGGCACACAGTTTTGATTTTTCACGATATTGTAGACGTTCGCGAAAACACACATGCCAAAATGCACAAAGCTCAGCACCAGCTACACCAAATCAAAATGCCACCAAAATGCCACAGATTTGTGAAAGCACACATGACAGAGAACACCAACCAGCCTCACATACTCCGAATCAATATGCCAGCAAGATGCCCTGCAGGACACAGGTCTCATTTTGCGCGTGCATGCAAGAACGTCGCGAGAGCAAACATGTGCACCAGGAGGCTTGCACGGCTCCCCGCCTAGAGTTGCATTGATGCTTCTTCAATCAAGCAGCCTTCCTCAGCAGATGCATATGGTCACATCCCAAGTCCACGGCGCTCGCAAGCGCGCGCACATGTTATTCAAGAAACGGACTTCTTAAAGCTAAGGCTAGGGGAAGTCGAAATCAGGATGGAGGCTTGTGAACGGCAGCGACGGCGACCGAGCCACCACTTTTCAGCGCATGGCCCCACACTGCCAATCCAAGGCCCCTTTTCAGGTAGCCTTTTCATGGCCGGCTCTGTTGCAGAAGCCACCAAACACATGAACGCATGACACACCACTATACACACCACTCCGCACCACTGCGCACCACGGCGCACCACTACGTACAAGCGCACAATCAGGGGGCTGGGCTGCGTGCACGAACAAGGCTAGCTCGCGACTCGACAAAAACAGTGGATGTGGGAGCTCACGACCCTCTCTACAAGAATTGCATTCAACATTCGTAGGCTGCTCACAGGTGCTCAACTCCCTACAGGGCTTCATCAGGGGATGCGCCTTCCGGAATTTTGGAACACACTCAACTGTGGGCGCCGATG